CTGCATCTATTTCTAAACCTGATCCCATCCATCATCAGATATTATGTTTTTGTCTATGTGCTTTTCGCTCTATTCCTATTGAAAGCCTATATGCAGAGGGGAATATTCCATCCTTAATCGATCTCCGTGATTCTCACTGCCTCTATTATTTTGTCCGCTCTCGTGACCTTCACGATCCTTTTACATACTGAAAAGTAAATGATGTTAGTAGAGGTCCATTGTTTGTTCACCATCCCTTTTTTCTCCGTCTTTTTTCCTTTCGTCTTCATTCGCTCTTGACCTCTCTTCAGTTGCTCCTTTTCATGTTTATCTAGCATCTAACTTTTCTCTCATCCCCAGGAGGTTCCGACAGTTTATGTCTGTTCTTCCACACTGCTTCAGTTGCTTCTCGCTCCCTTTTTTCTCAACTTCTTCTGGTATCATTCTCATGCCACTGAAGTGTACATTAATGGTTCTAAACCCTCTTGACATCGTCGGGTTTGCAGTAGTGTTCCAGTACAGAGTTGTGCGAGAGCATTTGTTAGACTCGTCCACCATTTTACTGCTGAACTTCATGCAATTCTTATTGCAGTTATTCGTATTGCGTCTATGTCTATCTGTGCGTTTGTAGAAGTCTCAAACTCCTTTTGTGTTTTGCAAGGTATTACAAAATTTGATTCGCATCATCCCCTAGCTCATCGTATACAGCTTTGGTTGTGCCGCATTTCTAGCAAAAACAAAGAAATAATTTTCTGCTGGGTCTCTGGTCATGTTGATGTGCAAGGCAACGAGTAGGCAGACTCTTCTGCGAGGTCAGAGGTATTATATTGGACCATCCTGTTTTGCAAAGAGCACGGAGAATTTGCCTTCGACGTCGTCACCCTTACTTTATCATTCCTCCTTGCTGACGGCCCTTCCTTTGACTGACTTCCTATACGATTTTCTGACAGCAACTGATTTATTACAGACTTTGAAAATACTTCTTTTAGCACTCTTCACAGCCCCTCTCTAACTCTATATATGTTATCCTTTCCATCCCTGGCTACTCTCTGCTCCAGCAACACCCCACTGTCCTGCTGAGCTGTATGACCCTAATGGGTTTAGCACTTCTTTTTATAATAATAATAATAATAATAATAATAATAATAATAATAATAATAATATAAGGAGTGCTTCATGCTTTGGCATAGAATTCACCAATAATAATAATAATAATAATAATAATAATAATAATAATAATAATAATAATAATAATATAAGGAGTGCTTCATGCGTTGGCATAGAATTCATCAATGTTGAACAAATTCTGGCAAGTTCTTCGTCGAGGCACCAAATCCTAATAACAACATCAATTAGCTTATTCACAGTTAAACAGTCCTGTTTCGCGATCCTGCAGTTGGTTATTGCCCAAAGATTCTCAGTTGGGTTGAGGTCAGGAGATTTTCCAGGCCAGTTTAGCATTTTTCTGGAAGTGTGGCATGGAGCAAAATCTTGCTGGAAAATGCCTTCTCCGTCAAGCATGCCTATCCACAATGGGAGGCAAATGAGGTGCCAGGATTGCCTTGTATTTGTCACTGCTCATCCTTACCTTCAGAATAACAGGCCGTTCAGGGCTTTTATCATGAAAACTACCCCAAGACATCTTACATGAGTGTTTTGGCGCTTGTTGAATGTGACCAATCCGAAGAGGTACGCCGTTGCTCCGACTTACTACATTATAACCTTTCTCCATTCATCTGTCGTTCATTCCTTATTATCGATTGGCCACCGCAGCCATTTTTTCTTCATATCAGCAGTCAATAATTGTTCCTTTACAGGCTTTCCGATAGTTCTGGCAACTTCAACGAGCCTTCGTCCACCAGTTGAAGAAAATATTTATGCTAGCTGAAGCCAATTTTATCTGTAGATCTTTTCTGGTTTCCTTGGGATCTTTCACACAATTTCGTATGATAACCTTGTCTTCATGAGGTGCTATCTTGCATTTTCTTACACATCTTCCCCGATGCAGCGCCCCACAATCACGTGTCGTCAGTTCTCTTTAGAATCCGACCAACAGTTGATTTTGTGAGGCTCAAATTATCGGTAATTTGTCTGATACTCAAATCACCATGTTTTCTAAGAGCTACAATAATTGACGCTTCCTAAGTGTAACATCCATCATGAATTTCAACACTAATCATGAATTGAAAGAGAGACTGGCGATACCACATTCAAACACGGAGCACACTTGCAGGAATAGCCTAATAGAACAACAGCTGTTGTAGCACTGATGAAAGTAGCAGGGAACGCCACCGCTGGATGGTTGCTAGCTCTTCTGAAAAGAAAAGAACCCAAACTACATTAGTTAAGCCGGAGACTAAGACATATTATGTGATAATCTCATAATAATCCTGTCTCAATTAATATCCACACTACTGTACTGTGCTGGTAAAGTGGGAAACAATCAGGCTGCAGCAGGAGGAGGATGACAAAGATGATCCCATGTATCAGAAATCTTCCCTATGAGGATAGACTGAGGGCCCTGAATCTGCACTCTCTCGAAAGGCGTAGAATTAGGGGGGGATATGATCGAGGTGTATAAATGGAAAACAGGAATAAATAAAGAGGATGTAAATAGCGTGCTGAAAATTTCCAGCCAAGACAGGACTCGCAACAATGGTTTCAAGTTGGAAAAATTCAGATTCAGGAAGGATATAGGAAAGCACTGGTTTGGATGAGTGGAACAAACTCCCGAGTACAGTTATTCAGGCTAAAACGTTGTGTAGTTTTAAAAATAGGTTAGATAAATACATGAATTGGTGTGGGTGGGTGTGAGTTGGACCTGACTAGCTTATGCTGCTGGGTCTGGCGCCGTGCTCCTTCCTTGAGTGGAGGTGACCAGACTGGGTGGGTCACTGGGCTAATCCGGGGAGGGTGGTTCATTGGGTTAATCCGGGGGGGGGACATGGACCTGCTCCGCATGGGTCAGTAGGCCTGTTGCAGTGTTCCTTCTTTCTTATGTTCTTATTAGGGTTAAAACAGCAGTTATTACCGGGATACCTCAGGGATATGTTTAAAAGACAATATTCAAAATAAA